GTAAATCGAACGCTTTGCCTTTCCCTCTTCACTATGACGGTCCAGCACAGCGCCCACATCACTGCAGAAGCCGCACCACTGTAACAATCACTCTTTTTTTTTATTATCTTGTATTCGTTGTCTTTTCAATAAACTGCTGAAAGTCTGACCAAACAGCTGACCTGTGGCGTAACACAGTGAGCAGCACAGCTGCACTTACACATTGGAATACAGAAGTTATACAGTTGAGATGATGAAGCACAAAAGGAAAGGGCTGACTGATGGCAAAGTAAAGCAGTGAAAATATTTTAAATATATAGCATCCGTTTAGCATGATATTGATTTTTTAGGTAGAACTTTCTTTAAGTGGCTAAAATACCTTTAGCTGCTAACCCTAATCCACAGCAAAGCATTGCTGAGTTTCTGGGATGCAAACAGAGAGCGTGCCAGCCTTGATCACTGTATGTAATACACTGACTAGATAAGTATCTCATAGAGCCCCATTTCAAAACCCAAACTGTCCCTTTAAAGTACACATATCATTCAGCTTTCAGACTAGATTCATTATGAGCACTGGTGGCTTTATAAAAATGTATTTTTTTTTATTTAGTTTTAAGCAATAAGCAAAACTAACGATCCATTTTACTCACCATTCCTAGAAAAATCATTTCTTCATCCCGAGCGATCTTTGTCCTCTTCCTGTGTACATAGCCCCTCCACACCTGCAAATCACATTTATCCATTCAAATCTTTCAGCATGCAAGATGACGCAGGCCAAAGACAAAAGGCAGAGAAAGAGGCACGTGGGTTTATGTTGATAACAGAGGACCTTCTGAATGCAGACGATGGCCAGCTCAATGGCAGCTGCTCCAGGGTCCTTGGTAACGTACATCCTGTTCATATTTCTGCTCTCTTCTTTCAACGTGGCCCTCAGGCGTCCTTGGCGGGCCCTCTCTGCCATTTGAATGATCTTAATGGCCTCCTCTTGACTCATGTCCTTGGTAATTAGAGGCTGTGGGGCCAAATAATTGAAACACTTTAATATTTGTCATTAAATTTAACCAGTAATTAATTAAAAGTATCATTTTTGTTTCACAGTTATAGGCCATATGTGTTAAACTTTCATTCTGGTGAGTTTTTTGTATGTAACAAATTTAAACAAACAAATAAAGCCAAATATGATCAAGTCCTATAAGTACAGGCGATAACTAAGATTTGGCTACTTTTAAACTCACTTGTGGACTTTCAGTAGCCTCCATCATTTTCATGATATCTGTCAGCATCGTCTGTCGTTCTTGGAGTTCTTTGCTGCGATCACTTATGAAATAGCGTGGGATAGGGATCTCAAGGTCTGCCTAGAGTGAGAAGAAAAAATGGCTGTCATCACTTAAGAATGTAGCCAACACCTTCTGTGAATAGGTCAGTATAATTTTGTTCAGGGAATTTCAGCAATCCCATTACATTATACTTGATCTTTTAAATGAAACTCACAGGTGTCAGCTTCAAATCATGAAGGACATCATCCATGTAGTGGTACTCTGAAAACTCTTTTTCCACCATTTCATTCTTCAGCTCCAACACCCTCCCTATCACGCCATCAAGAGTTGCCCGAATTACTCGTCTCTTTTGAGGGTGAACCGACTGATCGTAGACCTTCTCAAGCTGTCTGAAGATTTGAATGTAGCGCACATAGAGCATGGCCAGACGCTGGAAGAACACAACCCTGTCCTTCTCTGGGCGAGGGGGCTCAGCAGGTAGTTCCTCAATCAGAAGACGGCTCAGCTCTAATTGAGCATCTGCCCACAGCTGGTTGTATGTCCTGGAATTAAGAAGAAGAACATCATGATTTATGCAGGCCATACCTTAGTCATAGAAAAGTAATCAAACATAAGAAAGAGACAAGATTGAATATGTGATTTTTGTTCCTCCTGTGGTATCTGCAATTTTGTTTTATAAATTACAAATGCTGAGGGTAACAAAGCTGGGAATGTAAAGGGCAACGATGTCAGTAAAAAAAATGGCCAAACTGCTCAGCATTCAGTGAAGTGTTCTATTATTTAGCCAGCAGGAGTCTCATTTGCTAACATCAAGAGTCAAACATCACCCCAAGAGTCTATGGGTGTGTTCCATATTGCATACTTTTTACTTTTAGTTTGTTCTGCAGCTACCCTTAAAAGGTCCGTACTGTTACATGCAGTATGCACACAATCAGGACATGTTTCCTTCTCATAACATTACACCCTGAACTTTGACCCTCTTGCTTTTATTTCGGTTGCCTTGGAAATAAACAAATGCCACTTACTGCAGGGATGGAGATCAACAAAGAGAGCTCTGCTGTTGTTACTTTGCAATGTGTGTAGTTTCACTTAAAGGTAATAACCACACAGATTGCAGATTGATTCTCACATATTATATATGCAACAGTGAAATTACATATGCAGTTCTCTGTTGTAATGTTCACAGTTATGTCCTATTGTTTGTAATACTTAGGATTATTTTGTTTACTTAATCAATTAATATTCCTATTATTACTATTTGACTGGTCATCAGTTACTTTACTGCGTTGTCATTAATCATTTGGACTTCTGACAGCTGTCAATCAGCTGTCATCTGTTTGCAGTTCAGTGGGTGTGACTGTGCAGAGGATTGTGGGTCAGAATAGCCAGAAAAGCATGCTTGCTTGCACCTTGCAAAATCGGACCGGATGTAGTAGAACATCCTGGTCTATTTGGCATACTGCAGTTGACACACTATGTATTAGGACATACTAAATCCTTTTTCTGGTGTACTATTGTGGTCGCATATGTTTGTTGCCATTTAACACCTGCAGCAACTCTCCTACCATGAAAGAGGTTTGGAAAAAAATACTTTTTAATACTGCTGCCTTATTTTATTCATAACATGTATTGCTTGTCGATGCTTAGCTTAGGTTAGGCTAATTTAACATTTCCAAATTGCACGGTTAAGTGTCAAAACTGTAAGTAGTTAGAAAGCTAACGTTATTAATTTTAAATGTACTTTAAGTCACAAATTGGGAAGCCATTTTGAATGTGTTACTTTTTACGTTTTGTACACAGCATGCCAGTACAACTTTGCTCAACTAAACACTGCTAGGGTCGTTAGCATTGAAACCAGTCAGCTAACGTTAGCTTAAGTTAAGCTCGACTAGCTAAAGTTAAACTACGGTAGCCGCTGACTCTAACGTTACAGGAATGACCGCGGTGGCTGCTGGGAAGTTTACCTTTGCGACATGTCTGCGTCCAGAGAGTGAAAAATATGACTTCACTGCTTCTTATCTCATAACTAAACTACTTACAGAGAGTTAAACTACACTAACGTTAGCTATGGTGCAAACATGAGGTCAGCTTTCCCAGGTTACACACAGTGGTTGACCCATTACCATGGTAACAATCATACCGGAAGTAACTCACCTGCGCTTCTTTTTCTTTTTTCTTTAATTTTATTTTGTAGGAAAAACCGGGGCGGTCACTGATGATGGGACAACCGGTATGTAATAAGTATACTTAACTGAAACTACTACTTATAATAATAATCATAATAATAATTATAGTAATAATAATAATAATAATAACAATTGTGCATATTTTGGGGTTTGTTATATTGTTTCTCCTACGTTTTCCTGGTACCATGTTAAGTTATTTTACTTTTTTTTTTAGTTGAACAGCAATTTGGTCAACTCTGGTTGTTTTTAAACGTGCTTTATAGTAAATTTGATTTAATATCTAATATCATCAACCATCAGCGTTACCTAACCCCTCAAAAGTCACACCCTATAATTTCAAATATCTGTTTCAGATGTGGCATTGCAGAGGGCACGATGCTTCACTGCACATGGCACTGCATGAAAGTTAAATTTTTGTATGATTTGTGTGACACACACCCTAAAATTATGGACATACGACTTTCATTACATCCAGGACTTTTTCCTCCTTAGAAATGTCACAAATTTGAAACTAAATTAAAGCTCCAGGAAATGTATCAATATAGCTCTTGCTGTTTCCAGGAACTTTACCCCCCTATATCAAAGTAGACCTCAGTAATGATGATTTGCATGCCTCTGTGTCCCCAAAAAGAGATATCATACGTTTATAAAGATTTGGCAGCCTTTCATTGAATACACAGAAACATTACCTTTATCAACTGTGGACTCACTGTAATCTCTGAACTGGCTCCATTGTAATAGTAACGTTCAGGTTCCTTTTTGGGGGGAATATGTTGTGATGTCCATGCTAAATTGAACTTAGAATACAATTAAAAAATAATAATAATAATTTACCTTTGGGGTTTTTCCTACTTTGCCTTTTTTAAATAAGAAATAGGCTGACCAGCTTCTTTTAACTATCAACTCTTTGCGCAACAAGTGAGACACCACTAGGTGACGTTCTTCCTTTGGATTCACAGACAGTTCAAAGTCTGTCGGTAAAGATGAGGTTTTCGTCTAATAATGTAATGGGTTGCATATAAAGTGTAAATGCGTTTAATAGCTGCCTGTGCTAAAACACATCTCTGCAGATAGATAAAGGAAGCAGTGACCTAATTAATCCCCACTATAAAAGAAAATATGAACCCTGAATTTATTTCTCATTGGATTCATTTACATTATGCTGGAGCCACTGACTGATTGTCTTTAATGGGGGGGGGGGGACTTACGACAACAGTCGTTTAATTCTCTAGACTCCGTTTCAAATGCATTTTTAAACATATCCTTGAATTTTCAAATTTTTAAAAGCATTGTCACAAATACAGATTTCTGTTCAAAGGGTGAAACCTGCCGGATGGCTGCTCCTGGAGGCGCATTCTCTGCAGCGCTTAGGCGGTCACAAGACTTGGGCATCGGTGAGCAAAAACACCGACACGCTGACAGGTCAGCTAGAAGCTTACAGGCCCACAGATTCTTCTCTTCTCTGCATCCAACATCCAACAAGTTGGTCCGTTTGGAAAACTACTTTCCTGCGCGCCGCCGCGCTACGGTCTTTGTCGCTTATTTTTTTCAGTGGAAATTTCAGCGGGGCTCTTTTTTAGTTGTTAGACCATTACTCTGTCTGGAGAGGATCATTTTTATTTGGAGCTGAATAGTCCTGTAAACTTACAACCGGGGATGTTTTGGTGCGTAAAGGAGGGGCGCACGCCAAAGTGAGCGAATGCCAGTGGAAGAAATTGCACCAAAGATGTCAACATTGCTTTACCACCCACACGAAATCGATTGTATTACCTTCAAGAAGGTGGCTCCTCGTATAAATAGGGACGCATTATTTCAAGAAAGACGGTGGTGAGCACAATCTTCCGGCTGTACTCTCGCTCCTCTATCTGGACCACAGACAACGCCTGGAAGAATTTGCGTAATACAACTGTGTCCACTCTGCAGGACATAAACATCTTTTACTCCTAAACTAGTAAGTCTAAAGTTTCACTGACTATATTTGTTTCACTCTTGTATTAAACTGGACGAAATGCGACTGCTGCGTAAAGTGGGTTGCACCAGACTATTTCTGGTGATCAGATCTAGTTTTAGAGGCTATGCATGTTACCACTGACATGATTTTTTTAGAGTAATTTTGGGAGTGTAAAGGATCTTAAATGGCAAGCATACTTGGGGTTAAGTGTGATGCAAAGTGTACAGCTGTCTTTTTTTGGATGTTGGAATAAAACACGTAAAAAACATGTAACCAAACTTATTTGCTTATGTTTTCAGACAGTGAAGTCATGCAGGTGGAGAGGAAATGGCACATACTGTTGACTATCTTCTTTCTGCTCATCACCTCGGGCCAGTGTATGGACAGCAAGGACGTCAAGCAGAAAGAAAGAAGGACCCTGTTGGATCTAATCTTACAGGTTATCAGAGACAGCCAGCAGCGGGACAAAGCCGTGTCCAGGCGCTGTAGCAGTGGACTCTTCACCTCAGCCCAAGACATGAAGTTCTCCTCCCGTGAAAAGCCTTTCTATGTTCCTAGGCTGGATAACAGTAGACTCATAGGTAAGCTGATAAGATTTATTTTTAGGTCCTGATGATGAAAGCATAATCCCCATTTTACCGTGGGAGACAGCTGTCATTGGTCTGGTCTGTGCTGTACACCTTATTTATGAGCCTGATTTAGTTTGGATGAATGGAACTCAGTGTTTGCTTGTTAATTCAAGATATACGGGGAAAAAGGTTTGTCTGCTATTAAATTGTTCCATAGCTTTCTATACTGAAATTTCCAACTCAGTATAAAGGGGGAAAATTTAAAATATATATATATATATATATAATGCATGTAATTAAGGCATGCTTAATCTGTGTAGGAAAAAGGGCTATGTCACATTTACAGACGTGGTGTTCTCATTTGTAAGAGACACCTTTCCAGCTCGTCTTGGACAAATCGCTCCCTCATTCAAACTGTGATTGACTGACGGACAGATGCACGGATAGGTACTAGGAACTCATGTAGGAGGAGCATTGTCACGGCAAACTTGTGAATGATTCATTCAGTGTGATTCACTGTGGAATCTTAAACATGAATGATGATGACCACCCTGCACGCACACACACAAACTCACTGTGACGTCCCAGAATGTAGCTCCAATAGAGAGCATCCCTGCTCAGGCTGAGCAGAGACGCAACACTGGCTGTCGTTGAGTCACACTCATGTAATTTACAGCGCTGTATCAAAGTCAGTGTTACTCCTTTTGACTGAAGTTATGGAATGAGACCGTACAAGGAGAGTTTAGAACAGTCCAGGCCACATTCTTGATTTGCACTTCTAGATATTACCTAAACAAATTGACCATGTTCATCATTTATCATATAAATGAGACATATCTGAGGTCCCTGACGAGTGAGAACGGGCTCGGTGCAGCTCTGCCTTTATTGGCTTAAATAAAGTGTTCTGTTATCTGGGATCCAAGACAGGAGGTTTTCCCAAATCAGACTGTAAAACAGAAAAGGCACCCAGAAAATCCTTTTATGCAAAGTGTTATTGTTGCTGCAACACACATGCCACATTATCTGAGGTTCTGGTTTAGGATCGTGCCTCACCAATACGTGCAATGAGAGTTTAGTAAGAGCCAAGTGAACAGGATGTGTTGATTATCTGCAGTGTCAGATTCTCTCCTCCATCGCTGTCAATTAGATCTTGTCTCAGAGATGTTACACTGGCATCTTGAAGCTCAAAGTCTCGGCCCCAGCTTATGTAATTGGAAAAGTACCTCTCTCAGACCACTGACTAGATGGAATTTATCTTCTGAGGATATTAAAAGCTGCATATTAGCAACTGGTGCGTGTGACACTACCGAGAGACCCATGGTCACGCAAGGATAGATGTTTTGAACACAAAAGGGAGGAAGAAGAAACATTTGTAAACCCACCAATGTGTTCACCCTGTAGCATGTTACTCTGAAGCCATGGCTTTGACATCAGAATGACGGCTATGATAAGACAGACATGATGTAAGGACTGGTGTTATCTGTTCTAGTTTCTCTTTTGGTATATGTGGCACAAGAAATCAGCTTTAGATTGGCAGCTTTAGACTTTTGTGTTTTGTGCTTGTTGACATGCATTTATTGATTAGCTGGCTTTGTGTAATTCAGGTCGCCATTTTCACTCTTCACATCAGCATCTTGGCTTGAGTTGGCTCTTTACATGGCCGTACCACTTTATAGAAAAGTAAAATATATAGTATGTCTATCCTTTTCATTTGGTCTGCTATATCTGCAGTTTAAATGTATTTAAAACGACTTCTTATGCTTGCTTTCACATCGGTTTAAGTGTTATCTTTCATCCTCGTTCTGCAGTCACTTGCAGTTGCAGCATTACATGTTCCTGAGTCTGGGGGCTAATGTAATGTTAGCCCAGCAACTACTTGCATGGACTTACTCTGATGAGCATTTAACTCATACAATAATCTCTTTAGCCTGTTAGTGTGGCCAGTGTGTTATCAGACACCTCCGTGTGTTGCCTGCATGTACACAGTAGAATGGTGGGGGGGGGGCTGATGCTCTTACCTCATCTAGACCTTATGAAATGCCTTCAGTGACACCAGATAATAACAGTGACATAATGTAAAGGTATATATCCATCATACTACTTATGCTGCACTTGATGATGAACAGTATGCACAATGAATAATGTTCTTTTAGAGTGCTGTAAAATTATTTGAAGGATATTTATCATGAATGATAATGCTGCGGCCACATATTGAACTGATCTATATGTTGACCTTAAAGTGGTGATGTTGAGAAATTCCCTGCGGCACAGTGATATATGCAGGAGAGGGTAACTCTGACAATGACTGTACATATTCATCATGATTATTATGTAGCATTTGCCAAGTTCTCAGTGGTTGAAAAATGAGTGTTGATTGATGTGCTAACAGTGGTTTTCTTTTCCAGAAATTGTTCCTAGAGATGTAAACATGAAAGGCAAATTCATTCAGCATTTCACAGGTAAGAAAATCACTGTCAAAGACAACATTGTGTTTGCAACATTTCAGCCTTGATTGCGTTTTCCTAATGCCCTTTCCAAACATTGCAAAATGTTTTTATCTTGCAAATGCCTCTTAGAGCATAGTTGGCACCTTTCTAATGCAACCTTTGAGTGGTAATTCTCAGTTCTGCCCTCTTTGAGAAAATCATTCCTGTAAGCCAACATACAGTATGCTTAAGTCTCGGAGGCGTAATGAACACTGGCACTCCTGTGGTTCAGAGAAGGGTTGCCTGGCTTAGCTGCAGGGCAGTAGTGCAGAGAAACAGCACATGGTCTAAAGCCGACAGAATTAAGTTGAAGGCAGTGCAAGGTTAAGCTGATTATTTGTCTCAGGACCTGTGAGTAGACTTCATTATTGGTGTGAAAATCTGGAAGTTTAGATGTCGGTGCTGAAACTCTACGAGGTGATTATAATTGAAGACTCAAGTCCTCTGTTCGTTAAGTCCAGTTGAACCCTGACTCCTTAACCACGTCTGTGATAGTGCACTGTTCACTTTCACTTTGTGATCTGTCTGTTTTTTTGGTGATTAGTCACAAATTCACTAGGCATGATTATACTGTACTAGCAGAGTAGATATGATATAACATATAATAAAGCCCTTGCAGTCTCTTTCACTATGCCTGATAAGACCTTTTCTATTAAGCAGGACCAGTCAAGTTCTCGTCGGAGTGCAGAACACACTTTCATAGACTTTATCACAACACAAGGGATTGCTCAAGACCAGCATGTATGTATGCCTTTTTCCTCTCTGTTGCTCTTCTCATAATGTGCTCAAGGTCTGTTGTGCCATTCAGTGTCGTCATGAGTATTATGCTTTAAAGGGCAAAAAACTTTTTTTCATTCAGCTGAATAATCTGTTCCCACATGAAAAAATTATTTTGCTTGAGTTGGATTATTTTAATTGATCTGGGGTTTCTCACCTTCTTTTTTGTGTTCTTCTTACTGGTTTTTAAGTGGTCGGGGCTTAAAAAGGTGACCACCATTTGAATCGAAATCTGATGACAGTTGGTGGGTTGTTTAATGAAACATTCACACAGTCCTGATAAAGGAGGTTAGCTGAGTGCTAAACTACTAAATTATAAGTTGTTTTTTTTTTTTATAAAACATTAACTTTGAGAGCCCGGTGTCACTCGGGAGTCATCGAATTTTGCTGTTTGGGCAATGACTTGTGGTGTCAGAAACCAACGGAAGAAGGCGTCCTTTAATGTCAGTATGATATGCGTCCAGTTGCCATTATAGTTTAAGGGGTCCTGGTGGCGTCGGG